TTTCAGGGTTCAATCTATGCTGGCACATTGTCTTGATAAGCTTCTTTCATCAGATGCTATTGTAAGAACGGCTGTTTGAGTCTACATTTGTTTACATTTATTAAAAATAGTTGTCATGTGTTTATATAGTTCCTTTGATCCAGAAAAAGCCCCAAACACTTTGTAAGTTATGCTTAAAAGGGTCACTTCCTCCACCCTGAACAGAAACCGTGTTGGGACCAAGGCATGGCAGCAAATTAAATGCATAGAAATATCACCATAATTCAGTCGGTCTGCACCCCCTCAGAGCACCATCAATTTTCCATCAGCTTCAGAACAGTTACTGGTACCATAAAAATGGTTTGCACTTTGGGGGCAAAAAGTAGTTAAAAGACTGTCTTCCTAGAGATTGCATATTTTTCATGCACTTTCTTTTGCTTTGCAAATCAAGCAGCAGTGGTATCTACTGCACAAAGCATAGGGCTGGCAATATCTCAGCTGGACCTACTGTGTCCAGTTTTGGGCATCTCCAGAGAAGACACAGATCAACTAGGCAGAGCCAGGGGAGAGTAGAAGAAAGGATGGAGGGAGAGCACCTGAAGACTTGCGGAGAAAGGCAGAGGGAATTGTTTGTTTAAAAGACAGAAGGCTGAGGTGAAACATGGTTAAGTCTTCAAAACATGTGAAAGGTTGCTGAGAAGAGCAAAGGACTAAACCTGTCCATGGGGACAGGAGAAGTTGTGAACTTGCACTGTAGCAGCGAAGATTTGGTGAAACATTAGGCAGTAATTCTGGATGTCAGGAATGATGAAATGCTGGAATAGATGTCTGAAGAGACTCTTGAATTGCTATCATTGTAGGGTTTTTTTGAGATTGGATTAGACATAAATGTCAGGAAGGGTTTAGGTCTTGTTCCTGTCTTTGGGACAGATGGGCCAGAAAGTCCCTTCTGATCCTATCTTCTGTGATTCTGCTGTGGTGTCACATGTGGTCAGATGAGCCCTGCTTATATGGATAAACCAAGTCACACTAAAAATTAGTTTGTGAGCTCCTTGCAAAGTCCTTGCAAGCTAAACTAGAACAGAAATTCCCCTAAAGGCTTGCATGTGTGTTTGTTTCATTTTCAGTTTTAAAATGCTCCCAAATCATCAAGGTGCTCCAGCATGCCCCCAGCGCAGAGGACTTGAATCGTATAATTGGATTCAGTAGGGTCTGTTCACAAAGCCTCTGCCTGGGGCCCCATTTTTGGGGAAAATTTTACATGTTCTAATGATGGTAAGACAATGGATGAGTAATGCACTGATTTGAAAAACTGCCCTATTATCTGATCAAAAGTACAAGCTCATGAATATGATACCGCAGGTCATTTGGCTAAAAGCTACCTGGAGTCTTCCAAATTTTTAAAACAATCCCATACACAGAAGCAAAAAGTAGTGGTATGAACACTGGAGCCAGTGGTCGCCTGTTCACCACAGATCACATGAAATGTTTTATTAAAGATATTTTTATCAGACACAAAAGATTGAAATACAGAATATCCTGGGCTGGCAAGAGAAGGCGTGATAATAATTTAGACTCATTCCTCAGATCTGTGATTTATTTTTATTATTCTCTATGCTCATTTCAGGAATGATCAAAACCTCCCTGAGGACAGTGGAAAGTTTCCAGTTGAGTTCAGGGAACTCTGCTGCTGCTTTCATCCTTAGGGAAGGTCCGAGGGTCAGTGAGATCCTACGTGCACATGCAAACATGCTCAGAGGGAGCTTGGAGAAGTCATGTCCTGATACCAGGGCCACCTCTAAGATTAGGTTGTATCTAACCTGGCTGTCTAGGGTGCCTCTGTAACACCTAGGAAGAGAAAGACCCTGAGCAACAGTAAGTACCCCTTAGAGACCTGCACTGGAATGAAGTGGACCACCTTCTGGAGAGGTTTCTCTCCCCATTCACTATAGAAACAGCCTAGTTACAAACTTGGAGATTTTACAAGGAGTTTTGTAGCCTTTGGTAAAAGCGATCATTCTCTTTAAATATCTCTAAACCACCTTGGCAGTTGGCTATGATGCTACAAGTAAAGTTGCATTTAAGAAAATGTCTTATATGGATAAACTGCGATTCATTTGCTATTAGCATACTTTGTACACATCAGTGGAAGCACGCTGTTCTTCTCTTGTAAAGCACTTAAGGATTTTTTTAAAAACAAACAACCCCACCTAACAGTATTTATCTTAACAAGGAAGCCTTTGTAGAAATCTAAGGTCTTGAAACCAGAAAATGACCTCACTGACTGAGGAGAAAAGCAGTCAAAAATTCTCAGGTCTTTTGACAGGAAACCCTGGGATTTTAAGTAAACTGTACAGGTTTTTTCCCCAAAAAATACCTGTTTTCAAGGGAGAAAAAAAAATCAACAAAAAACAACAAAACATTTCTGGCAGTTGATCTGGCAGTTGACTAGAAAATGGAAACATCATAAGGAAATGTAAAATGTTGATTTAAGGCTGCTTTAGGAATCCCTTAGAGGTAGCTGGCTGATGAATGGGCTCCTGATTCTTTTACAGGTTCCCTGGCCAGCCTGTGTCCCTCATCAGACATCTCACACAATGCATCCCTGAGGTGCAGAAGGACAGTTTGCCCAAGGGACATTTTAGCCTCACTGGAGGTTCAAGCCCCTAGAATGTGTCAAGAGCAGGATACACCCAAACTGCAAGTCTAAATGGCATTTTGGCAACGTTTTTTAAATTGAAATTGAAAACCAGACCCTCCTTGCAGTTTAAAATTTAATTTAGGGCTAAATTGTGTAGTTCTGTAAAGTGGCAAATAGTAACCAAAAGATGAGTACAAGCACCTACCCATACTTACCTTAGGGAAAACTGGTACAGGGGAAAAACCCCAAAATCGTGATCCCACTGCTGGTACAAGGGAAAAACCCCAAAATCATGATCCCACTGTCAGTGTTGCCCAATCTGTGCAGCACAGCATCACTCAAAAGGATAAATGAGATCTGGATCAGAAGTTGGAGCATGACTGCATTTCTGTTGGATTACTCAGAGCCTGTAGTACCTAGTTTTGTCAGAAGTATGCTTTAATGATGCTTTGTATTCACTGTGGGAAGGCACTTCCTACTTGATGTTATGTATATTACAGGAGCTTGGATAGACAGTGCCTAATCTGGTGTCATTCTTGCGAGCACTAAATTAACCACTCAAAAAAGCTGGACAAATTTGAAACAGCGGCATTAGCTTATCCCAGATCAACATGTTGTATTAAGTGACTGCAGCAGTTTTGATGCAATATAGCAGAAGCTCTAAAGCTATGTGTCTTGTATCATCAGTTCAAGACATAAACCAACCACTTACCATGGGAATTTAGATAAGAGCTTTCTCTGGCAAGGCTTGATTTCAGAATTTTCTATTTACAGCAGTTTGTTTCTCTGGAATGAGCACCGCTTCTCATTGTCAAAGACCTAATACTGGTTAGATGGATTATCTGCTCCCACGAAGCAATTCTAGACTGCCTTTTCTTTTTACTCTAGTTCATTGCACATTAGTTAAGATCACTTCTAGCTACAGAAAAACTGTCCCACCCAGAAGATGTGGTGACAGTATAAAGGATGAGGGAAGAAATGAAATGAATGATCCCAAAACCTGGGGTGAAGTGTAATGTGCAGTGATTGTCTACTGGATCTGATGTTGACCTGTATGTGTGTTTACCAGTGCCCTCTTCTGGGTGGACTCTGATCTTCTCACAGTTTGTGAGTGACTCAACACATTTGAAGCATCTGAGCTAAAAGCTATCTTGTTATTGCTTAGACAGAAAAAGACAAAAGCCTTCAATGCTACTAAATTCTATTTCTGTGCAAGAATCTGGAGCAAGGTATTGTTCCTTTGATATTATGGAAGACTTATCCTTTTTCTTCCAAGGTCAGGATCTCAAATACTGTATCTAAATATAGGACTGCATAGCTTCTTATCCCATAAAAAAATTATTTGACAGTCATTTTCAGTGCCTCCAATTCCCCTTTATGGAAGATCTAAAAAGTAACACAGTGAATCTGCAAGTATTAGTGTCACATCTTGTTTTCAGGGGAACTTGTCTTTTTTCTCCTTGCTCCACAGCAGAATGCCTTGTTTTTAAGTCCAGAATCCACCTTGTGCAGTTTGCATGCTCGGTTGTGCTGCTCTGTGATAACTGGTAGATTATGGATCATCCAATAATGGATGCAATGGAAGCATTTTATGAAATGGAGATTCCAACTTAAAACTTCCAAATCAATTGTAAATGGACCTTTTTGACCTTCAGTGTCATGGGAATCATGATGAATTCGAACCTGCAAATTCAAATCAAAGTACTAAAGCTACAATCAATAAGCAATCACACCACTATTGAGGCAAATACACAGACAGGGAAACTTCACACTGAGTCTGGTTTTGGCATTGAGATTTGATCCAAAATGGCTTAAAGACAGGAAAAGAAATGAAGCTGCTTGGTCTCCTATGCTCAAGGTTATCAGTTGTGTAAGGGTATCCTGAGAAATTCCTTATGGCTTGTGAAACAGGGGAACAATGTGTTTTGTGGCCCCTCCTGGACTTACTATCCAGTCCATGGTAAATAAGACATGTCTCTGAGACATGACAAATGTTGAGACCTTTGGTGGCAAGAAGGTACCTAAGAACATAAGAATGAGGTCATCCTAGGTCAGCACAAAGATGCATCTGTCACAGTCCCTGATGCTGGCCAATAATGGATGCTTAAAAAAATGAGTGTAATAAGTTAGATGTATCAAGAGTGATGCCTCTTTTGGTTATATTCTACCAGCAGCCAGAAGCTGAGGGACATCCTGAATCAGAGCTGTTGCCAGATCATCACACTTATCAGCCCCTAGGGCTCTCCCTGCATGTCTAATGTGTGCAAACAATAATAATAATTGTGATTGTCGTTGTTGTTACTACCACATATAATGACAGCTCACAGAGCAGAGATAAAGGTTCTTGTGTTTAATTTCCTTCTCTTGTGTTTTCTTTTAGCACCACTACGTTGCCTTCCTATATCAGGATAACTAATGGCTACATCACAGTCAAACCTCCCATTTGGATTTCAAACCGGCTGGATCAGAGACCGCGTTCAGATCGCCCATCCCAGCCTCGGCCTACAAGCTCAGCTTCAGCCAGCATTTTATGGCCATCAATAACTTCTCCTCTCTGCGTGGCCATAGCTTCTTTTCTCCTGAATCTACTGCAGCCTTCCTGACCACATTAGTATTACGTGCAATCCCTTGGAATAGAGAAGAAAGATAATTTATGAATGAATTGGAGGTTAAGACAACAACAGTTACAAGCTGGACCTTCTCAGTGAATCAATAGTGCCTTCTAGCTGATTTTGTCTCTTTGCCCAGATACATTTTGAAACTCTAAAGCTTTATTGTAACACTGACTTACATCTTCTTTTTGTAGAAGGATCTTTATTTCCCATAGTGCTATGGGGTTTTGTAAAATATACATGTTCATATAAAGAAAAAAAAGGAAAAGAAAAAATGTATTTATTCAACTGGTAAACTTATTTTTCTTGTTGTATATGTTAATAACATCCCTATTAATCAGTAGTGATGGTGAAACAGATAAATTAATATTTTCTATATTTGTTTTCTAACTGACAACTCTGCAAATGTCTGAACTGACACCAAATGAATGGCTTCTTTGTTTCTTTAGCCATTACTTTTTACAGCAACTGTCCAATAAGTACATTTCTGCTGAACTTCTTTATTTTACTTTTTTTATCTCATTAGCATAGCTTACACTGAATAAAGCAGATCCTGCTCTCTGTGGCGTATGCCCATTAGAAAAATAGGTGCATTCTTAACTCAAGTTAGCTGCTACAACCTAAAATCCCAGTTATTTTTATATGACTTAGTAAGTCATTAGTCAAGATAACCCTCTAAGTTCCCCTGTTGTCTTTAACTAAACTATTTAACTTCTTTGGAAATTACCAATTTCCCTCTTTGCCCTGGGATTAATTCATTAGCTAACACAAATTAAGACAGCTTTTTCTTAATAAAAAATTGCTTTTAAAGTCTGCAATAATCCCACTGGAATTATTTTCTTCTCTCCCTCATCTTATATAAACACAAGCCTACAACCTTTCCCAGCATAAATGAGAACAGAACTTCGTCTGTGTATCAGGTATAAAGATGTAGTATCCTGTTAATCTATAGAACTTCTTTGTACCAGTTGTATTAATGCAGATGGACAACCTGAAGGGAAAAAAAGTTTACAAATTCCTCTTCATCTTGCTATTATGATGCTTAGAGCTGGTATCTCCATGCTGAATTACGACTTGCCCAAAGTCTGTTCAATACCACAGGAGCCAAATTAACCCCTGTGTCATGGAGATGTGCAGAGCATTCCTCCATTTCTAGACTATGGTACTTACGTTGACTTAGATGGAAACATTATGATACCTTACATTCACTGAAAAATTTACTCCCTATCCAAGCAGCTACTTTTCGTGAATGCAATGAACAACATCGATGGGAAAAAGAACCTGTCCATCTTAAAAATTCTTGTGTTTAATAATGCATGTTGATTTTTTTTCCCCAAGAAAACATGATGAAAAATCCCTTTGGATACAAGAGTTTCAACCAGAAAATTAATTTTGGCTGAAACAGTGTTTTTCTTTCTAAGTCATCTACAAACCAAAAATCAAAAATATGTGATGAAAACATCTTAGTTAAAAAAGAAGGCTCAAAAGCCAGAAAAATACAATGCAAACTTTTCTTTATGAAAAAGCAGTGCTTTTTCACCTTGAAAAAAAACATCAGATTGTAATGATGATGATTATAATAATAACACTGATAAAAGTCTGACGGAAAACAGTCATGTCACTTTCCCACCAGCCCTACAGCATGGTCTTCAGGACTGGAGAGATGATTCCATGCAATCTTAAAGTCTCCGCAGTGAGAGATGGTTTAGGATTCATGGTTTGTTTGTCATTGTATGAGTTAATTCAGGAACATAGGCTAGAAAATAATTAGACTACAAAAGGCACATAGTTTTATTTGAAACCATGATGAAATACTGAGCTTTTCCATCATGCATCCCAACCCATTGCCTTGCAAAGGCCAGGGACAATACAGATAACTTCTTTTTGATTCACAGCACACCATGACCTCCAGCCTTTGCTCTATTTTTGGCAGAAGGTTGTGTGGATTTGTGGTCAATTTAAGTGGGTACACCAGACAGTGCTATAAGCTACTCCTGTTTTTTTCAAGCACAACAGTTGATAAGGCTGACTGGAAAACTTTGAGCTTTGCCCCAAATGTGATCTTCGAGCACGCCCTGTGCATACTTTTATATTGTGTGTTTTAGCTAGCAGAAGACTAGAGATGTTAGTTTTGGACAGAAGCCATTCACCTTGCATAATATTTATTGCATGGGGCTGGATATTGGAAACTTATTTTGAGAACTTTCATTTTGGTTTTATTTGAGTTATTACCCTAGAAATGCCTTCATTTGAATATAATGGCTTAACAAACCTTCAAATTCAACCTTAATGCATTTAAAAAGATGATTGGTTCTCCTGCTGTATTCAAGACAGATCAGAACTGAATTATAATGTCTTATTTACAAAAATGGAACTGGAAATAGAATAGGCAAATCTTAAGGGTGATGATAAGTTACATAGTAAAAGTGAACAGCCAATGAACTAAAACCCATTGAATTTTTTTTGTTGTAATCTGATCAAATCCAGACATGATTCTGTGGTACCATCCCAGAAATAATTCCAGGTGTTGGAAAACTTAGAGTATAAATAGACAAGACCACATAAAGATAAGGGAGAAAGAAAAGAGCAGAAAACAGAAACTTGTCCAAGACTGTAAGAAAAAACACCAATAGGACCAAGACTAGAAATTACAGTTCTAGAGTTTCCCAACCTGTGGCTTTCTCCATAAGCCTCTGGGGCTTTTTTGAATATTAGGAGCACACATGTATCTCCACACTCACAGCTGTCATTATACTGCACAGAATAGTCACTCCTTTCATCACTGATGAGTTACTCCTCCACTGGACAGTAATATTCAATATTTATTAGCTCAGATATCACGGTATGTTTGGATATCACGGTGTGTAAATAGCTTGGCTATCAAAGTATATTTTGACATACTTGCATTCCCTGGCATTTTGTCCGTAATTCCCATGAAATGAACGAATGTTACTGGAGCTCACTGAATTTCTCGTGTGCTGGTGCCCCCCGTTTGTCACACTGCAGTGCAGGTGTCAAAGCAAGGTGTGTCCTGGCTTTGAGGTCAACACACTTGACTTCTGCCACCTAAAAGCATCCAGCTCAACCAGTCATTTGATCTTCCTCTGGTTAGGGGAGAAGACACAACTTGCAATAAATGCGAGATGAAGTAGCTTCCTGTAGATCCTAGCTCAGGAACCCCACATGAATGGCTTCATCACAGTTTTCTAACCAAACATTTATTTTATTCTGTTGTCTTACCCTAGGGTATGACTTTGGGTAACTTTTTTCAATCCGTGGCTTGTAAGCATAGCAATACTAGAAAATGAGACCCTCACTGTGACTAATAGAATGGATTATTTATTAATCAATCAGCTACAGCAGCCCAGTATTAATTAAAATACACTAATAGTGGTTAGCACAGATCTATGTACATCCATTGCAATGGATCATGATTATATTCACCATGAGTTTAAAAAGTGTGCATCAGATTTGATACATGCTCCTGAAGTAACACTGACTACCAGCTTCATGGGACTTCCGTTTTCTCTGGGGGTTTCTTGGAAAACTAGGAACCAACTGTTTTCCTTCTCCGAAGAAAAGCTCAGATTCCCATGTAAACACAAGATTCCAGGAGCAGGAGATTTAACAAAAATATTCATGCCCGCTGTATATAATAGCAAACACGGGTGATATTATTTACCTCTGAGAAACACAATCAAGAGAGTCACGCAATGTCTAGCAATCAAGGACATGAGTTTGGATGAGTCCAAAGTTGAATGTTCATAAGATTCATCTTTTCAATGCAGCTACAACTGACACCAATACAATCCACATATATAACTGTAACATTATAAATGAATGCTAATTATCTGCCAAGCTCTTGTCCTGGTGGAATAAATATCCCATACCACCAGCAACAGATCTAACTTCTGCTCTTTCATTGTTTTATGCTTTTCTTGCCTATGTTTAACTCTGGATGCTCTATTAACATGCATTGCCACTTGGAGAACCAGTTAGTAAGCTGGGACAGAAGGTATTTTATATTTTATGACAGATGTAGTTTCTCTGCAATCCCTTGGGCTGTTGAATAATGCAATACCTCTTCTGGCAATAAATTATGAACATGATTTATGATAACTATGCTTTATACAGGTGTCAAAATCTGCTTTGTTGAACTTCCCTTCCCATTCCTCCAAGCTCCACTGTAATTTAGGAACACCCAAGGTACAGAGTTGTATATTTATCTAAGTTCTTCAATATACAATTGTGAAGAGGGAGAGATATGGAAAGAGGGAGAACTTAATCTGTGTTTAGTGCATTGATTAGTCGAATGATATGACCCAGTCATTACCATATACCACTGTTAGGGAGGAATTTCCCATCATATATTTTTGTTAGAGAAACCAAAGTGCCAAAGTTATTATCTCAGCATAAATGTTATCATTCCAAACTTTGCTTAGTACCATATTTCTATATTATATCCAAAAAAGCATATGGGCTTGTCATATCTCTGAAGTGATCAATGTTCCATGGAGTGTGCTAGAGTTCAGCTTCAATTTAAGCTTGTTTCAGCTTAACTGAAGCAGAAAGATAATGGCCTGATTTTGAGATCATAAGGTGTACATGTATGTGCACAGGCACATGTGTGCGTGCGTGTGTGTGTCCCAACCCAAACGCAACCTTTCCTGTGACTAGCTTAGGAGGCACCTTAATGTAGCTAAAGGCAGAGAGGTCTTTCCAATAAGTTGTCAATACTTTTCTTCTACAGGAATGATTAACCATCCTGCAGATTCATGCTCACACTGAATTTTAAATTGCATGTTTGTCAGTTTTCAATTCAAATGTATTTCAAATATTTTTTCCTGTTCCGCCTCCTGCTTTCGTGAACTGTTTTGAAGAGTGTAATAAAAAGATGCTTTCTAATATTATTTTGTCAAAATATTTTTGTAGCATAATATATTAATAAAATGTTATTATAAATCCATAGCACAAGAATCTTGTATGTCTAGGTTCTTTCCTTTGCACTAAAAGCTAGGGAATCACTGAAAAAAGGGAACATTCAAGTTGTAGACTTTATGCATGCTGCTTCTCTTTTGCCCAAGACCAACGTGGGATGGAGGAAAACATACTCTGGGGAAGTTTATTCATAAATGAAGTGATTTTGTCAAGTCCATTCCTACAGAGGTATGGAGAATCTCTGTATACCTTTTTATTGGTGAGAAGTTGCTGCCCCTGGTGTGTAACGAGTCTGGAGCAGCCTCAGCCTCCGATCCATGTCACTCGAGAGAAGCCTCTGGGTTAACCTCATGATGTGTTTTGAGTGGGGCTTGGGCAGAGGGGAAGTCTCTGAATGGCAGATAGAGGACCTGGGAGCTGTGCTTGCCTCTACCATTTCAAAGGCTCAGTGGGAAAACAAAACAAAAAAAAAAACCGCAAAGGCCTTTTTGGGGTGCAGAGGGGTGGGGGAATGTGGAAACAGGGATCTTAAAGGACATTGACCTGAATTCTGGGGGAAAACTCTGCTATATGGATGAGACTGAGGCAGAGGGAGAGGTCTGGGGTTTTTCATTCTTACATCTGCTCATTTGCGCGCTGCCCAGGCTAGTGCGTGGTGAGTCCCGCAGCCTTTGGGCCAGACACGGGGGCAGACAGGACCAGAGCTGGGAGATGGAGCAGGATGAGCACGCGGACAGCCAGAAAGTGCTCTGCAGGGCTAAGGACAGTGGCTTTGCCAGTGCAGCAAGGCTTAACACCAGTATCCCATGCTCTGCCACAAGCGGATTTACCTCTCCTTCCCAGGCAGCAAGGGAGAGGCAAGAAAATGCCCTGACAGC